AAATAAAAAATAAAAAGATTTGAAAAATGCATATAATCAATAAATAATGATTTTGATAAAAGTTTTGTCAAAACTTTTTGATAAAATTCAATTTACTCAATTCTCATTTTGAGATTGACAGAGCATGCATTTTTTTAAATAGTTCACAGAGGACATATATTTATCATGGCTTCATTTTTCAGTCTTTGTATTTAAAACATTTTCTTACCTTCATTAAGAATCTCTTGTGAAGCTACTGGCATTTGACTATCTAACCCCAACTAATAAAAAAATAATTTGTTGATTGATTTATAAGGAGTGCAAACATTCAATCACTAGTGTTGCTTATGTAAAATGACTGTATGAAACACAATACCCCTCACAATTTTCTTCAAAGTCATTATATCCCAATACATAAGAAGAGTAAAACATCAAAATCAAATTTTTCAACATCAGTAATTGCCACTGATGCTGAAATTAGAATTTCAGACGTAAATTCTAAGTGGAGATATGAATTAGAAATGCTTAATATCAGTTTTCTACATGAAATAAAGGGACCATATGAATATCTGCTTTCATTTCTTTGTGCCTGAATTGAAACACCAGAAATGACAAAAAGATTAACTGGCCAGATATCAAATATATCATTTCTCTCCAGTTTCACCTGAACACTGCTCTTGGTCTTAGGAAATTATTATTTCTTTTTTGCTACACCATTATTTTTATTATAATCATCATCATTTAAAAACTGAAGCAGAAGATAGCATTTTAAACCGAGGCATGATGGCCCAACCACAAAAAGCAGATTTCTGGCCTTTTCAGAATCGTCTTATAAAAAGAAGAAAGAAGGAGGGAAGGGAGGAGGGAAGGAAGGAGAGGGATGGCATGTTTTTAAGCATCTCATTTACACAAGCAGTTTAATAAATGCCCCGGAGCTGAACATCCTGGCAGACCATCTGCTGAGGGGATTCCCCCACGGAGCTCCCCAGACCATTTGGAACACAGGCAGCAGGGGATTCCCAAGCCCACTCATCCCTGCCATCCTGCCTCCCTACCTGATGAACTTGAGCACCCGCCACATCTGTTTTTGGTCTCTTTTTGAAAACCTTTTTTTCTTTTCCTTTCTTTTGGTATGATTTCACACTTAAAAAATTTACTGGGGTGACATTGGTTTCAAAACTGTACTGGTTTCAAGTGTACAACTCGGTACATCATCACAGGCACATTGCATCATGCACCCGTCACCCCTAGGAAAGTCTCTTTTCAACCCTTTTATCCCCATCCCTTTGCCTGCCTTCACCTGTCCCTAACCCCTGTCTCTCTGGCTATCACCATAATGCTTTCATATATATGTTTTTGGATTTTTCCCTTAATACCTTTACCTTCTGAAATGTGGGTCAAAGATAAGTCAGTTGGACATGGCCAGGGATCAACCATGATCTCAAGAAATTCTGGATTTTAAATAACTAAGCTAATGATTGAGGTTTGGCCTTAAATTTTAGTTCTCTAGGTTTTTCCTAATATTTACATGTTTTAATGTATCTGTAGAGATCAATTGGAGAAAATCTAGGCTTTGATAACTATATTAAACTAATGGAATTCTATGCAGCAGAAAGAAAGAAGGAGCTCCTACTCTTTGCAACAGCTTGGATGGAACTGGAAAGCATGCTGAGTGAAATAAGCCAGGTGTTGAAAGACAAATGCCATATGATCTCACCTTTAACAGGAAGCTAAACAACAAAACAAACAAGCAAGCAAAATAAAAATAATGACACTGAAATCGAGAACAGGGGGACAGCGACCAGAGGGGAGAGGGGAGGGAATTTCAGGGGAAAAAGGGGAAGGTTTTACAAGAACTAGCATAAAGGACACATGGAGAACAACTAAGGGGGGTGGAAAGGGGAGGGAGGTGGGGAGTGTGGGGGGTGGGCTGGGATGGGTGTAAAAGATAGAAAACTGTACTTGAAAAATACTTTTAAAAATAAATTAATTTTAAAAAATAAAACCTTAAAAAAAGAATTAGGCATTTTTATATACTTTTAATACATCAAATAGAACAATGCCATCCAAATGTCTATGACATATATGTTCCTGATTTGTGGGTGAATTGATAGTTTGTACTGAATGAAAAAATAGCCAAGTACTTTAATATAAGTCAACTAATTAAATTTAAGCTTAATTTCATTTTGTTACAGTAATATATGTATTACATCCATCAGCAAAGTGGTATAAAATTGCTCAGAACTGCATTCGATTTTTAAAGTGCTTTGTCTTCTAAGTTCTGTCTTTTCTATAAACTCTCCCTTAGAAAGCAAAACAAATAAGCTCCAAAGGTCAAATATGGGAATTATTTATATAACAATTGACAGGTATTTCTCAAACTCTCTGATACCTTTAAATTCAATTTAAGGCAATGAAGTAATTCTGAAATTTTATATTGTGAACATGGGCAGTGTTCTCTATACCTGTGTATAATAAGCTCTGGGTATGTGTTTGTCATTATTTTTCCATGTGTATCTATATTATCACTTTAGGAGAACAGATGTGAGATTGATCAACCTTCCCTTATAGGAAGTTACATTAAATAGGATAGAGAACTGAGTATAATTGTCAACAACCTATGTTTCACTTGTTTAGTGAAAATGCACCAGATCAAAGATATTTATTTGTTGATGCCATGAATGGGGGTCTCAAATAATGTTTTGCAAAGTTATTGATATTTTAATTTTGCTTTGAAGATAGAATGTAACCATCTATACGGAGATATGACAAAGGGAGATGAAGTCAAAGGGAATAGTTTGAGCAAATACAGTTATGGGAAAGTGTGGTGAGTCAGTGGAGAAGGGGTGGGAATAATTCAGTGTTGTCTATAGCTGCAGAAGCATTGGGAAGGAGTAATCGGAAATAAATTTGGAAAGGTAAGTTTCTTTTCATTAAAATTTGTATAACTGTTTAAATAGCCAAAGCTAAGCCACTTTGAATACTTTTGAGTAGGGAAGTGAAATTAAACAGTTTTAGAAACTTACACATTCTCGAATTCTGTAACTCCTATAATTTGCATCTATTGAGCTAATTATACATCAACATGTTCACCTAAGGAATTAGTTACATCTCAAAATAAAAAGTCCTCTTCTGTGAATTTTCACCGAAGCTGGTATTGTTTATAGCTTTTAAATACTCTCTTGTTTCTTGCTTCTATTAGTTTTCTTCCTTTTCTTTCTGACTTTTGTGATTTTTTTTTGAAGAGGTATTCTCTGAAATATTAGACTTACCCAAACACTTGAACTCCTATAAGGTGCCAAGCACCAAGTACTAAGGAATTGTGAATAAAAAAAGGACCCACAACTAAGATGAAAGAATAATTCCATGTAGCCCTGCCTCAGTTTCCTAGACAGGTTTCCTGCAACAGATGAAATTTATCAATGGATGATGGGGAATACAAGGAAATATAGTTTAAAGAGCTTAAACCTGTTTGACAAGTCTTTCTTAGTGACATTTTCTTCCTTTTTCACTTTTTTATTCCACCATTTATTTCTTGAAATATTTTCAACATAATTGGTTACATTCTTAATCTAACCCAATTTTTTTTGCAAGTTCATGTTCCTACTTCTTCTATTGGTTGTTTCACCTGACTCATTTCATAGTGCCTTCATTCGCTATCTATTTTATAATGTCAGAATGTGCATTTAGGTTAACAAGAGTTTCATTTACTAAAATCTTGGGAAGTATGAGCTGATCATGTAGACCTTCTAAAGGAGATGTACATTCACTTCTGTCACTTAGCTGTGAACTCTACATGTGTCACTGCTTTTTAGTGTAACTTTTCAGGTTGAGAATTCCCAAAGGTCATGTGTTTATAGTTAAACTCTCAAACCTGCAATATGGCGGAACTGGGGTTAATTGATTAAGGGAGAAACATTTTCCCTCTACACAGGCCAGGACAGACAATTGTACTTGTCATCACCCTTTTACCAGTGGGCTGATTTATTCAGACCCTTATTATTGTATGGATTAAATTTATTCTGGTCCAGTGCTACTTGGCATGCTGTAGTACCGCCTTTTCTAGATGAACTTGGATTGTGCTTGGATTGTGTGATCTGTGTGTCTTTTGGTTACTGGGATCCACAAATTCTCAGTAGTGACTTATACTCTAGTTTTTAGATTTTTTTCTTCTTTTGTTTTTTTCCATTGTAGCACCATTACCTTACTGGAAGTGCAGATATGCTATTTCCAAAAACACAATGTTGGACAGGACGTTAGGGTGGTCACACTCTTTTGTCCATCATAATGTGTCTTTCAGTTTGTATTAAAACAATTTCAGTTATCTTCTAACATTCTAGACTCTTCATCTATTTTATTGCAATTTGCAAACAACTTTATTGAACAACTCAGCTATTTTAATGCCATTGTCTTGGTGGTTTCATTTAACTTATTTATTTTGTCAACATCAGTGTCCTTTCACCTTTCCCTATTCACTGCCCCCCATCCATTCACCTTTCCCTGTTCATTGCTCCCTGTTCATTCACCTTTCCCTATTCACTGCCCCCTGTTCTTCCCAGTACATGCCTGCTTTCATGGAAACATTTTAACAGGTAGTAAAATATAGTTAATTTGCATTTTACAATTGTAATAGCAGTGTAGAATATATTCTTTTAAACAGCTTTTCAAATGTGAGGCAAAAATTTTCTCTAGCTTTTGCCTACTCAGGTAGCACATATAAACCCGGCATGTAAATATGGAATGGGTAGCTGTTTGAGTATGAATTTGCTCATTTACTTGACAAATGACAAAATATTAGCTTGTATGAGTCATGTGTTTAGTATGGTTGTGAAGTACATAATAAAAAATAACATTTTGTTGTTTGAGCATATTTAACTAAACTTTTCATTTGTCTTTATAGGTAATACAAAATTGGGGGGAAATAAATGCTGCTTAAATCATGTGATTTATAGATCATGTAGCAAAATCTTAGAAGTCATGTTTAAAACAGTAATTAATTGTTACTCAAATATTTTTTTCAGCTCTTCTTCAAGTGACAATTTCACTTAGCAAAGTAGAGCTTAGTGTGGGGGAATCTAAATTCTTCACATGTACAGGTATGTATTATAAATATTTTCAGATAACTTGTTTTATGACTTGATTATTTAACTTAATATATTGGCAAGTACAAGTTGTGCAAAATTCAATGATCAGAAAGCAAAATTTGTATTATAATTAGTTTTATAGTAATTAGAAAAGTCAGTTTTGCATGTTAATATGGGTTTTATTTCTATTTATTTTAAGCTATTAATATTGACTCAAACTAGCTCACTTATTTTGAAAATAACTTATTATGAAATATAATGTATATCCAATAACTTAAATCAGTTCTAATATTATCCCTGTTTAATGGTAACATTAGGATGAATGCCAATATTATAACTAATCTTTGTAAATATGTGATAAATAACTAGTAATGGTACCTTGCACTGTAGTTATACCTGCTGAAAATTTTAGGACAAGAAAAATCAAATTTATCCTTATGAAAAGAGATTTAAAATTATAGATAATTATTTAATCAGGAAAAATTGCAAGATTTTGTGACTATTAATCAAAAGTATCAGATATCATATCATAATGCCTATGGGAAATTATATAGATCTCTTTCAGTTTAATCATGCACATGCTGAATATTTTAGAAGGCATTTAAATATTTCAACATAAAATTCTAATTCAGTGTACTATAGAACTGAAAATGACCACTTTCTACTTCTATTTAGCTTCATCATACTCATTTTATTCATAAAACCTTTATACTTATTTTCAAAAATATTCATCTGTTTCTATTTCTGTTTATAATTAAGCAATTAATAACTGGATTTAAATAGGCATTTCTGACATAAATGTATTACAAAAGTTGTCTTGAGGATGGCATGGTTATTTAATATTATTAAAATTATTTTTCATTGTTTTTTTACTGTTATTCAATTACAGTTGTCTCCATTTTGCCCCCACTGGTTTTCCCCGCCCTACCTATCCCCACCTCTTATATTCAATACTCCCCTCCACTGGCTTTGTGCATGGGTCCGTTACACTGTTCCTTGATGGCCCTTTCTCTTCTTTCCCTTGTTATTCCCCTTCTTCCTCCCCTCTGGTTCCTGTCAGTTTGTTTTATATTTCCACGTCTCTGACTTGATTTTGCTTGCTTGTTTGTTTTGTTGACTAGGTTCCACTTACAGATGAGATCATGTAGTATTTATATTTTACCACCTATAAATCATATTCATAGTATATACACTATATATTATAGTATAACTACACTATAATATACTATATTATAACTACATATAATACATAAACTACATATTATGCTATATTTTATATTATCACATCTCATGAAAAACTAATAGAAGCTATATGTTTATATGTTCTTTATATGGAAAAGTTCGTTTTCCTTTAAAATTTTTTTCAGATAGAGGGAAATGGAGGGAGAAATAGAGGGTATAAATGTGCGAGAGATACATTGATTAGTTGCCTCTTACATACCCCCAACTGGGGACCTGGCCCACAACCCAGGCATGTGACCTGACTGAGAATTGAACCAGTGACCTTTTGGTTCACAGGCCAGTACTCAATCCACTGAGCCACACCAGCCAGGGCTATATTTGCTTTATTAAAGGTCTGAATTGAGGTGTGTTGATATATATTTTTGTATATTGACAAATGGCCTAATGGAGAGCAAGGGAGAGATTGGTTCAACATCATTTATTTTGTCAGCAGAGCTTTGGCTTAAAAATATAGGTCATTGTTTCTAAATGTCACCTGTATTTCATATATACAAATGAACAGTTGTATCAAATAATCACCGAATAATGAAATAGTTTAACATAAATTTTGAAAATACAATTATGTACTATTTTTTCTTGGATTTGCCTATTATAATATATAAATTATATAATGTAATTGCCTCTGTATCTTTCCCATAATCAAATTAGGATATAATTTAAAATTATGAATTAAAATAATTATTTTTTTATATTTATATAAAGATGTATAACTGAGAGCTATACTGTTATTGTGGAAGTGGCTTTATTTATGATAAATATAAAAGTAAAACAAGATGTGGGAAACCAGTATAAGTAAGAAAGCTTGATTTTTTTCTACTGACATAGTGACTATGTTGACATTACTCTAAAGTCTCCTTGCACCCTCAGCCACAGACCTAAAACACAGTAAATAAATATATCTTAAATTTAAGATAGTTGATCCTCAGAATAATAAGTGAGAGTATGTCATGTGTAGCGAAGTATTTTCCAGAACATAAAAAATGTCATGCCCTGGCTGGTGTGGCTCAGTGGATTGAGTACTGGCCTGTGAACTGAAGAGTCTCCACTTCAATTCCCAGTCAGGGCACACGCCTGGGTTGCAGGCCAGGTTCGCATTAGAGGGCACGCAAGAGGCAACCACACATTGATTTTTCTTTCCCTCTCTTTCTCCTCCTCTTCCCTGCCTCTAAAAATAAATAAATAAACAAACAAACAAACAAATAAATAAATAAAATCTTAAAAAAATGAAAAGTTCAATTGTATTGATTAATTTCTCCAATAGGCAATTCATCAATAAAATATCATGACAAGTTTTATTGTCAATTATTGTTTATTAGAGATGCCAGAAGGAATGTTATGAAAATCCAGAGTAAACTCTCCACAAATAAACACATTTATACCATGCCTTTAAAAAAATGAAAACATGCAAAATATTTCACAGAATATCACATATACTTTACTGTATAAAATGAGATTTCTGTGTTGTTCAAATTTTAAGTAATGCTCATTTACCTTATTTGGGGGGGGACTTCTCTATGGAGGAGGATTTTTAGAAATACCTCCCCTAAATGCGTTATCCTATAACCACTATGTTATTGTGGATTTGTTTAGAAAAACAAAAAATAGCATAGCAGAGATCCATTTAAAATTTAAACTTTCATACTTTGTTCTAGCATATCTAATTTGATGTAGAAAAGATACTAATTTGTTTCTAAAGTGATTTGTTGGGAAAAATAAGAAGGAACAATTTTCTTCAAAGAGGTCCTGCAGATGTTAGCTAACTTCATGGATTTTCCCCAAGATGCTTTTGAGTTAGTAGCGTGTGCTGCTTCCACAAATTACCTCTCAAGTAATTAGGTGAAATACAACCTTTTGGTGACTAAAAGAAAACACAGTAAATTTCAGCTTTTACAAAGACCATAATAACCTAGATTCTGAGTTGGAAAACTTAAATATATGTTTACCCTGTGATGATTTGTTTGTAATTGCCTAGCAATATAAGTATCATTTCAATGCATCCTAATTATCATATGACTAGTTAACAGTTTTAGATCAAAATGATGAAAGTAATGATTTTGGTTAGGGAAAGAGATTAGGGCCTCATATTAAAAATGGCCAGTGGCCTTATCTGCACAAATATAACAACCTGGGATGTTATTTCAAAATATGCTATTATAAAAGCCAAAGTTCGTTTTCTATAAGATTATTTTTTATAAGTTCTGCTTTAGCAGGGAGAAAAGTTCTAACTCCCTACCCTCACAAAGAGAACTGAACAGGAGAAATCATGTTAGTAGTAGTGTTTTTATTCACACGTACATATCAAGTAAAATTCATATCTGATTCAATGGCCAAGGCAGTTTCATAATTTAGTGTGGTAATAATCCATAGTTTACTATGGTAAAAATTCAACTATCATAGCTTAAATATCAGACCAGATGTTTGATATTTAGGTTCCTATGGAACCTTTGGGCTTTGCTTACTCGAATGGGATTGAATCCTCAACATAGGACAAATAAGGCGATCATTTGTTCTGACATTATTGTTCATTTTCAATTTTTTAAGATTTTCAGATTGCTGGTCTTTTTCTATTTAGCACATTCTTCTAAACTGTTAAAAAGTGTTACATAATAAGCAAATGACAATTTGAAAACAAGCCCTTGAAACATATTTTCAACCCTTTCTTTTTTCATGACCATTTCCAGCAATTGGTGAGCCTGAGAGTATAGACTGGTATAATCCTCAAGGAGAGAAGATAATTTCAACACAGAGGGTAGTGGTACAAAAGGAGAGTGTCAGGTCAAGATTAACCATCTACAATGCAAATATAGAAGATGCAGGGATATATCGCTGTCAAGCAACAGACGCCAAAGGACAGACACAAGAAGCGACGGTGGTCTTGGAAATTTACCGTAAGTCATGCATTACTAGTTGATTCAAATAGTAGTTATACTATTTTTATAGTATAGTAGTTAAAAATACAAACAAAATAAAATGTGGTTAATAGAAACTAACACTCATTAAGAACTATGAGCTAGGCAGTGTTCTAAGACCAGATAGCAGCTTGAATCTCTTTTGCCATAGTTCATCTCTAAAGTAAAATAACATGGAATAGTTTATCATAAACATATAGATGGAGCCAGTTATGTTGATTGAATAGTATAGATGGGCATGTTTCAATTTTCTCAGGCCATTAAAAATCTGCTGGGTGAATAGAAAACAATAATTCATTTAGTGACATGAAATATATAGAGTATTTTTTGCTCTAAAATAAAAGATAATGATTAGAACACATGGGATTGCTTATATGATAGCAGTGACCAGTCTGGAATGATAATTGGGGAAGGGTTAGTGAACAGGAGAGTAAAGAGAGGGAAAGATGAAAACTTGTGTAGTGGAGCACGATATCTATCCAGCTTCTTCACCACCAGGCCTTTCATTAGTAAGCATTTCCACACTTATGCTTCATTTTCTGCTTTGAGATCCTTGGATTCCTACAACTCTTTCCCCTTCTCATGAGAATCATTCAGAATCATTACCTTACTTAAGGACGCTATTGACTATCTGAGTTTGAAACCAGGTCATACTGGTTAATTTTGTGGTCTTAAGCAATTGCCTAATCTATCTTTACTTTTTTCATCTATAAAATGAGTATACTATTACCACCTACTTCATATGTAGAGTTTTTTTGAGGACTACATTAATTAATATTGCACAAAGCACTTAGAACAGTGCCTTATAATTAATATGTAGTAGGTAGCAGTGAGAAATTATAAGGCATTTATAATTTAAATTATCTTATAATGCCTATCTTATAAGGCATTTCTTATAACTTTTATTTTTAATTCTAGAAAAAGGGATGTCTTAAAAAACCAGGGTATTCCCCCAGTATGACTTCATCTTCGGTGACCAGGGGGATAGGTTGGCACACTACTGACCCCCTTTTCCAATTTTGCCTTTTCCCGTTAGTTCCTAAGCTCCTCAAGGAAACATACTTTCCCTTTTTATGTGATTCTCTGCTGAAATTATTCCATAAATAGCAAACAATTAAATTGAGTCATTTCCTATTTGGAAATATTTTTTCTTACTTTAAATGATGGCCACGATGTTTGGCCAAATGATGGCCAAGAAGATGCCTCATGTTTTATTTGTGAAGGTAAGGATTTTTTTTTTCTGGGCAAGAACACTTGGTTAGTTTTGTGAACATTTCTCTCATCCGGCATCAGGCATCTACTAATGGAAGTTCTAGAAACTTAGTAATGATTAAACCAGGAACTGTCACTGGCCACTTGGTGCTGCTATTTAGTGAGTAGAGACAAACAGTAAGTAACTTTTAAAAAACACAGGGACACTAGCTATTCATGCTATTGAATCCCATAGTAAAAAGATTAGAGATTAGACAGTAAAGAGATTAAGAAGAGTAGAGAGACAGGGAAAGTTGGAGTAAGAAGGGAGAAGGCTGTTTTATCTTTGGAGATCGGGCAGAAATACGTAGAGATTTAAGGAGCGTGGATGCTGAGGTATGACAATAAACTGGACTGTTGAAGGAAGTGCAACGATGACGATTTGCTTGGAGCACAGACCACAGGAAGAGAGAGGAGGCACTGGGATCAAAACTGTGAAGCAGACTTCAGTTCATACAGGACCTAGGGTGGGATTGTAAGGACTTCAGATTTTCTTCTCAGTGATGTGGGAAGTGTTCCAGGTAGATGATTTGTAATGTTTGGTTTAAGTTTTTTAAGGATCTAGGTTTAACTATTTTAATATAGCATCTATCAATACAAATTCTGGAACAGGTTATTAAGAGAAATAAGTGATAATACAATTATGGCTTGTTTTACTTTCCTAATACAGAAAAACTCACTTTCAGAGAAGTGGTATCACCTCAAGAATTCAAACAAGGAGAGGATGCAGAAGTGGTTTGCCGAGTCAGCAGCTCACCTGCACCTGTTGTCAGCTGGTTGTATCACAATGAGGAAGTCACTGCTATTTCCGACAGTTAGTATTTTGGTAACTCCCTAAGTTATATATGTTCTAATAATATTGCAATTTTTTAAAGCCTGAATCTACCCGATCACATATAAAATTGTAAGTTTTGACCCAAAGCAGCGATTGACTATTTTGAGAATTTCAAAGCTGTAAATTAGGGGTTGGAAAACTATGGACTTTGCGAAAAATTCAACCCCTTGCTGTTTTTGTGAAATGTTGTGAGGATACAGACAAGCCCACGTGTTACATAATGTATATAGCTGTTTGAGGGGGCAGCGTCAGACAGCTGTAACACAGAGACTTTGGCCTTTTCAGTTTACAATCGTTATCATCTGGTGATTTACAGAAAAAGGCCGCTAGCCCCTGCTCTATTCAAGAAAAAAATCACAAACAGTACAAGGATACTAAGTAAATGAAGCAATTAATTCTGATGCATTCAGTTTCTACATACCATTCAAGATGAGTCCATGGGCTCACTGTATGGAAATGTAAAGTAATAGCTGTATGAATTCTGTTTATTCTGGCAATGTTCTTTCAAAGACACCTACACGTTCTAAATATTATGGTAAGATGCATACTGATAATAGGAAGAAAAGTACATTCATTCAAATTGTCTTTATGATTTTGATTCAGACTGAGCTAAAAACCCAGAATAATATGACATCTGATATTGAAAGCCTAATTTGCTTACATTATGCTACTTTACCATTGTGCATTGGGAGCGCTTTCTATTTAGAATATTTTTCAATGCACCTGCATTTCAGAGAGCTACAAAATAATTGAATCTTTTACAAATAGTTTTCATTTTGGATGATTCCATTTTGTCTTTCCAAGAGATGAAACTTTTACTGCATAAAGGAGAGAAAGCAGATATCTGTTTTTGAATATAACCACAGAATGTATCCTAATTATAGGTATTAGTCATTTTTTAAAAAATTGGTAATTTGGGGACTTAATATTTTCAAAGCTTGTCAGTTATTGACTAATACTCTTCTATCGTAACAAGTTAGTGAAAAATAATACTTTATTTTCTCTTATTTTTTACGAAAACTACTTTATATTTTATTAACACATTGCAAGAATAAATCATGCAATGTATTTCAGTTTTTACCTGTCAACAATAAGGGAAAGGCAGTTTTCTTAAGGTAGTTAAATGACACTGTCTCAGCATTTTCAGATTGCCTAATTGTGGGATCAACTCTACCTGTGCTTTATTATAACAAGGATTATAACAAGGATTTGAAATAAATGATAGTTTTTAAAAGGTGCATGAAACAAAAGCCTCAAAGCAGTGGTTGATGATCAGGTGTAGTGGTGATGGATCAGTGGTGTGCCTCTGGTCTCCAGCTTACACATTTGTTCTTAGCATCAGGATGGAGTGATGTGACTCTGGAATTCCATTTTGGCTCTCCCTTTTTTTGGGGGGGGGTGGAGGCTTAAAGCTTAGAACAGCTTTTATAACTGCTCTGTACCTAATTCAGAGTCTTTATTTGTAAATCGTGGGTTATTCTATCCATTTGCTACATGGTTGTGAATGTTAAATTAGACACTGGGCATATAATAAATATTTGTTAATGAATAAAATGTTTGTCAATATAGCAGAGTTTCTATAAAGGACACTTCCTTCTCATTTTTGTCTCACTGAGCTTTTAATCCTTGGGAATAAGTTTTACCAAAATCATATGCATTCAGATTATATCTAGAATCAGAAAATGTAATGTGAGAGAAATGATTAGACTAGATTTAAACATGAAATGTAACACCAAATTTTATGTCAAACAAAAATAAGAAGGAAAAAGAATGTAATTTTTTCTTTTACTCTAGGGTATAAAGGATATAGATAAATTGTGAGGAAAGACATATTTTTTTAGCTCTTAATATTGGAGGAACTTGCCACATAGTTCATTATCCAACAATTTGTATGTTTATAATGTACTTACAAGAAATAATTTTCTTGATCTGATTATACCTCACATGGTCTTTTTATTAAAGCTAGTGGTATAAAATTAGTCCCATATCTATGAAAGAAACGTGTATGGGGATTTAGAGTAATGTAGTGCACCCAGGTGTCTTTCTGAGTCCTTAGTGTGGTACTCCAGTAAAACTTGGAGGCTCCAGGTAAGACAATGGAGACTTGGAAATGTCCATCTTATTAGCCAGGCTTTTGGTAGCAGGTGTGCGGCAGATATTCACAGGTAAAGTTCCAACAGTATATCTGAAATGGTGTTTTTCTCTGCTGTTTGTCAAAAGAAGATTCATATGCTAAAACAACAGACATTTAAAGAATAAAGGTGACATTTTATTATAAAAGTTTAATATCCTAACATTTAGTGTCTCCCTGATGGAGAAAAGGGATTAGATTATCTTCATTAAGGTTTTAAAAGATTTAGATTTAACTATTATTTTATCATAGCATCAGTCAACACAGATTCTAGAATATGTTATTGAAGGAAATAAACAATTATACTTTTATGCTTTGTTTTACTTTCTCGATACAGGAAAAAAATGGCTAGTGTGCCTGTCCATTCAAATTCAGCCAGTTTAAAAGTTACCTCCGAATCTCCCTAAATGCTTTGATCATTGCATAGCAAAGTACACTTTCTACATCATAAACAATGGATAAACTCATATTTTTCACCACAACTTTTATGTAATCTACTCCCAGTATAAGATTCATTCAACTCTTTTTGAATACCTAGTACATGCTACCTAGTATACTAGATGTTGGCTATTCTTTTATAATAAGGTAAACAAGTTTGCTGTCTTCAAAATACTAATAATTGGTGGAAAACATACACATAAACCAGTGAAAATAAGCAATGTTGATGTAATAAGGAAAGTACAGTGATAGAAGATGATGAAGAAAAAAACCACGTAAACTAGTTCAAGCTGAGAAGAGTGTCCAAGATGCCTGCTGAAGAGCAAAGTGACCATCCTATGAAAAGGAAGTAGCCAAGTACAGTGGTAGAGACAACCCCATGTCCAGGGGCCCAGAGGTGAAAGGCAGAATGAATGGCACTTTTCAGAAACCAGAATGAGTTCATTATGACCACAACATAAGAATAAGTACGACTAGAATAGCTACACTAATAAAGATAAGGTATTATTAATGAAGGACTAATAAGGGAGGAAGTTGGAAAGGAAGATTGTGCCAAGTCAACACAGCCTTGACATCTTGGCTACAGAATTTGTAATTTGTCCAAATGGGACATATGTGAAGAGTTTTAATCAAAGCAGGGACATGACCTGGCATATATCTGAGAAGATTATTAGTGCTTCATTGAGGAAAATGAATTGGATGGGAGTCAAGGCAAAGCTCTAGGCACTGAGAACAAGTCAAATCCTAAATGATATAACTGCTGAGAGAGAAGGAGGTTTAGGTGAAGTACTGATGGAGATGTGATAGGACATGGGCTTTAACTGGATATCAGACTGAGGGAGATGGAGGGGTTGAAGTGGACTTAAATTTCACTTTGGCAGAGTTCCATGATTTATAATATTTACCTTGCACAGTTAGTCCAATATGAAGACATTTGAAGACACAGCTGCAGTGTATCATGTGATGAATTTCAGGTGGAGATTGTGAGCTAAATTTTAAACATGCTGAGGCGGAAGTACTGACAATCCTGCCCAGTAGGTACATGTGATAGAATGTTTAAAAGTTCTGGAAGTGACATAATGATCTGGTCTGAAGAAAAACTCAGTCTCAAAATTAGATGGTAATTGAAGCCATATGGGTAGATGAGACACTATCAATTGCTGCAGCATGAAAAGAGGCCTAGGTGAAGAATCTGCATAAAGAAGCAGATTATTTACATACAATAGATACCCTATTGGGTATTATTCATTATTTTTTACAGTAATTATGCACATTTGTGTTTCTGTGTAATTGAGAAAAACAGGTGATTTCTAACAGTTTAATGCTTCTAATAGCTGTAGTTAATGTGTGGTTGATTGAAGCAATGTTTTCTTCCAGTGTTTCTGCAAAAGCATATTAATGATCTACTTTTGTTTGAAAATTAGGTAACATCGCTGCATAGACTTTACACACATATTTAGAATTTGATATCCAATTTTCATGTAGTTTGTTTTCTGCTTGGAAAAATATGTATAATTAAATGCATAATGTTATATATGCATATTTAGAAGGTAGTTACTAGTTTCTTTTTTTCTAAATATTTTTATTGTTGTTCAAGTAGAGTTGTCTCCATTTCCCCGCCAGCGCTACCCCCAACCCCAGCCATCCCCACCTCTTTCCTCAATCTCATCCCCCTTGGTTTTGTCCACGTGTCCTTTATAGATGTTCCTGAAAGCCCTTCCTGCTTTTATCCCCTTTGTCCCCTCCCACCTCCTTCTCTGGTTACTGTCAGTTCTTAATTTCAATGTCTTTGGTTATATTTTGCATTCAGCTTTTATCTCACACAGTAGAAATGATGTATAAAAAGAGGGCATTGAAATAAAAATTTTCATTTGGAGAACCATTGATTATTGTCCTTCAGAATATAGATTATTTACATTCTAATTTGTTTTTCTTTCTCTGTATATATCAAGCATTACCTTCCTCATTAAAATAATGATGTCCCTTAATTAAATAAACTATAATCATCAAAGGATATTATAATTGAAGGGTGATTTATATTTTAATAAGTTAGAATATGTATTATATATAGCGTTACATTAATCTAGGTGTGATTAGGTGCATCTGTCTCTAAATTTGAACTTTTTTATTTGTAATTGCTTCTCATCCCAATGTCCACCCACATGCTTGAGTCAAGGATCTTTTAATTGACTTTGAAACATTGTGATTTTTTAGGGGTTCAGAGTTACTCCAGGACTTATTGTGAGTTATGCTTTTTAAAAAATATTTATTTATTTATTTATCTTTAGAGGGGAAGGAGAGGGGGAGAGAAACATCAATGTATGGTTGCTTCTAGTGCATCCCCTGCTGGGAACTGGCCTGCAGGGAACTGGCTTGCAACCCAGACATGTGCCCTGACTGGGAATTGAACTGCGATTCTCTGGTTCGCAGACCTGTGCTCAATCCACTGAGCTACACCAGCCAGGGCTTGAGTTATGCTTTAATGTTTCTTGCAAACTGCCTTTCTTCCTCTCTAATATTTCATTTGGTGAAAAATTAACTAGAGGAAATCATCTGCACAAACCCTTTTTCTCTCTTTTTAGGGTTACCTTAAAGAAGAAATAAATATTATGGTGAACTTTATATAAATACTGTCCTGAACATCTTTGGTCTGTAGCTTTATAATCCATTTTTTTTCTCTGAGGAAGCCTCTTAATCTACACATGTCCATTCTCCATTAATTATCTCTTGCTTACTTGTTTCAATGACCTCCTATAGCTGATCACTGCCCTATTTGTAATTCTACCCACAGCTTCTCTTCTTACACTAAATATTCCCTATGACAAATGTACCCCAAATCTGACTTAATCCTCAATTGTCTTTTTTTGTCACTCATGCAAAGTCCAGCAGGCAGCAAGGGCACATTCGGTAATGTATCCTTTCAGTCATTCGGGGCTGAAGGATGCTCTACCTTATTCTCTGGTGGCTTTCATGTTTGCCCTTTTTTGTTTTTGTTCTTGTTTTTATCAGCCCTGCAGGTAAGGGAAGAACAGTCACCATTGGAACAGTTCCCAAAAAGTAACTGTTAACAGGATAACAGAATATATCCCAGAGGTGTGCACCTTCAAATAATGACATTTCTACATTACCAAAAAGCCCCACAATATTGGGAAATGTCTCCTTTATTTACCAAAATATTTCAAATATAGTACCAGCAAGTGGATGATCTTCAGTGATATCTATGGATAAATTAACTAAATGAAATTTAGGTTATTGCTTTTACAACATATTTTAAAATAGGACTAGATGTCATAATATTCTTTACTTGGTATGAAGGGAGAAGGTCTAAACACTGCAACAAAATGGTGATGATTAAACACCAAGCCAGGCATATGAAAAGTGCTGTCAGGCTGAGATGCTGCTTTACAATAGTCAGGTTATTTAAAGCACTCAGGTAATGCATGTTTTGTGACAGCTTATGTTGGCATGAATGTCTGTGCACACACATGCACATAAAATAGAACCTTGGCATAATATTAATGAAGTCTAATTTATTCATTTCTAAAATTGGTTATCTTGCATTTAAAAAACCTTCAAATAAATTAGAGATATGACCATTTTTATGTCCTCTATGTGATTTGAATAATATTACATCATTTAGCTGCCTCCTCGGGGTATGCAAAATTATTACTTTAATTATTATGAGAGGGAAGACATTCACTCAATTCTCTAACCCTTTTTCATACCCCAGGTGCTACATATGGTATTTGCAGTCAAAATGCTTCCATGTTTACAATATCTAATCTCCCCACATTGTTTTTTCGTGTATAATTTCTGCATTCAAAGTACCGAGGGGAAAAGAATAGCCTAACCATTTTATGTGGAAATAAACTCCTGAATGTATTTTAGAGGAAAGGTGTAACAAGTGTGGAGTGGAAAAATTGAAGTCACAAAATTACATTTTACTTTCAAATTTGAATTTGTTTGTTGATGAAATGTTTGAGAGTGTCACACAAGTGCCATATTTTTAACTCTTGGCAACACGGAGCGCACTGGACTCTGCCTTCAATTACTGATATCAGTCTCTCCCCTTGGCTTATTTTTCAGATCGATTCGCTATGTTAGCCAACAATAACCTGCAGATTCTCAACATTAATAAAAGCGATGAAGGTATATACAGATGTGAAGGAAGAGTGGAGGCTAGGGGTGAAATTGACTTCCGTGACATCATCGTTATTGTTAATGGTAAGCAGAGAATAATGTGTATTTTATTGCTTCATTTTAACAATATGTTTATTTAAAAAGGCAACCAGGTAAACTCCGCACTCAAGAATTCTCTGATAAACTTCTTCTGTTCCTGGAGGAAATTTCCCCCCCTCTGTGATAGCACTTGGTATGTTGTTTTATAAGCTCAAGGTCCATGACTTCAACATTGCCACGGCCTTTTACAAAGGGCCTGTGAGGGCATAGTTGCCTTTACTGTCTTTGTGGTTGTTGAAAGAACTCCAAATGAAACATTGTAAAGCATTGTCCTTTATTTTATTTTTATATTACATGAAATACTTGCTGCTGTTGCTTAATCTATTTGCCAGTATTTGCAAGTTTTCTGAAATTTAATAATTGAACCTACATGTTTTACCCTTTCAAGCATTAATGGATACTAGTAACTAAGTTTTGGGCATTGTGAGGACATCCCTCACAATGGAGTTCCAACTCAGTTTCTCCTGTTATATCCCCTGCCTTCGTCAGCGTGTCATTCTTGGAGAGTGACAGATACATTGTTTTCCTACTTGTGTCCATTTTGGTCATCTACTCTGTTATCAACACATGACCATCGTATTTCTTTCACATCTCAGATGTACTCTCATCCCTGTCATCCTGGGTTCCTTAACAGCTCTGTCTCTTCCAGTTGTTTTTTTTTCCTTGAATTGATACAAATTGTTTTTTCTACTCTGGATCTCACAATTTCAAATGCCCCACCAAACTTTCAACCCTTAAAAGTTTCAGTGTTTCTCATTATCTCAAGGACAAAATCAAAACCACTTTTCTTGGCATAGGAAGCTTTTTGTGGTCCAGTCCCTTCTTCCTAACCATTCAGTCCTGAGCAACCCACGTTTAGCCATACAGCAGTATTAACACAACATAAATGTACTTTTATTTTTTCTGCTTTAAAATACCAAGCAATAAACTATAACCACAGGATTCTATAATCACTTTATAATGTTCTTTTTAGAATAGAAAAAAATATGAATGAAAGAGTAAGCTACTTCCTGTGAGTTAAGGAAGGGACCAGGAAAAATGCATGTGTTTATTTCCAGACCTTACCCCCTTTCCCCCATGAGTTATTTCCCTAGTTCTCTGAAGAGACTGGAAAACACGAGGAATATCATATAAATCTGAAAGAGTTGCTCAGTCTGTCCTTTTCTGGAACAAAGTTAGTTTAACCACAATATTATGCTCGAAGGGAAAGAAAATATTAAAGCTCTGCTATTTTTCTCTCCTCTGTAATTCAATGGGATTTGTGAATAGTATAATGGAGTGGTAGGCAGGCTGGTAGAAACTGCTTGTGCTCGTGGGGCAAACCAAAGTGCCGGACCCTCAGAGGGAGTCTTTCTTTTCAGAGCCGTTTGAGGCAGGCTGCTACAACACCTTATTTATAAGGAGTCTGTGGTCAGTAATGTGTGTGATCTTAAACATCACAGGAAGATTTTAGGGCCTGAAGGATAGGTTTAAATATGGAGTTTTGTATCCATATCTATAAGTATCTCTAATTTCTTTCTGTTATTATATGTGATAAACAAAGCTAATTTATAGTGGTCATTCAGTTTGTTTATTATTGCCATAATTAGTGTTGTTAATTATTAACTATTGTCTACTCTGCTTTGTTTTCAGGAGAGCTTTTGGTGGCATATATAAGTGCATTTTGTCAGGAGCACACCCTGTGCTCAATATAATGTCATGTAAACAGACATTTGTTCTTTACATGTTCATATACATAAAGTTCTTTTAAAAGTGCTAAGGTTAAGATGATAAAAATTGCTTAGTAGGCTGTGCACATATGTAAATATAAATTTATGAAAAATTTTATACTAAAACATTAATGAGTCTGATATTAAGGAGGAAACATTATCTGGCAGACATAGTATGTTACCCACTTACATCTGTCCTACTATTGTAATTTCTGTTGTAGTACATTGATAACATGCTCTCATCTGTTTCCATGCTAAATTACTGGTGTTTGTGTTTTTATGATTGCATTTAATTTAAAGAAATGGTTAGTTAGGTATCAGCGGGTTCAGTTCACGAGGTTTGAATTCAGAACTTTCATGCTCTGCATTCAGACTGAGCTATTTAGCTCTACAGATTTATATTAATTATTTCAGAGTCCACAGGAGATAACACTGAAAGGGCTTCTTTAGAGCCACTCAAGTCAAACCTATAACTTGCCCTTTTTGTCTCTGACACCTCGACTCTCCCAGAAGCAACTCACCCTCCCAGTCTTCTAACAGAATCCACTGTGTAACCTAATCTGACCTCCTTTGCTTAAACAAGGCTTTTTCTCCAGTTCTACTTAGTCGTATTTTCCCTTTATAATCACAAGCTCTTGTGCCTTAAAATTCTTGGAACTTTTCTTCTTTAAAGTAACAGTGTTAACAAAATCAGCCATCGATTTATTCCCCTTCTGGATGCTGCAGTTGGACCCTGGCAAGGGACTGCACTGGCTAGTGCCCCCGGACATCTGTGCTTTCCCTCACGTGTCACCTTCACTTCAGCAGAAAATTATTCTGCTCCAGTTTAATTGACTCTTATCCTGCTAACTGGCTCTTGTTAAAACTCTCTTTAGAGGGATCCTGGTATTATTTCTTTGTTACTAAACCTCTTGAAGATGTTTGAATGAAAAGTTTGAGACTATAAAAATAGTAATATTATAAAAAACTTTTCCATAGTATCTTTCTTTAGTTACATGATTTGACTCATTTCTATGCCTTCTTCCCAACTTACACTGCATCTATAGAAGAATTTTTTTGCTAAAAATGGGACAATATTATTTTATGTTATGTGTTTAAAGGGAAAAATCCTCTCAGCATTTACAATATAAGCAACAGAATGGCATATTTTATTCTATGTCTAGTTGGCCATCATAGTTATAATAAAAAACAAAGCTGTATTTGGGTTTACAGGGTACGTGTATTGCCTGTTCAGTAATAATCACTGCCATGTACTGAGCCTTCATTTGGGAGCACAGTATTTGACTGTGGGTGGTGGGCAGACAGGGCCATGTACAGATACTGTGTCACAGAAGTGCACTCTTGAAACCTAGGTAATTATATAAACCGATGTCTCCACAGCACATTTAATTAAAATAATAATAATTAAAGATAATAACTAAAAAATGAAGGAGTACAAAATGAGTTATGTACGAGAATTGCAACTGATTTTTATCCTAAATGATTTGACTGCATGCTGGACCTTTGTGGTTCCTGGCCCCCTCCCTCAATTAGCCCCGAGTCCCAACCCAAGTGCTCCAATTCAGTGTTTCTTTGCTGTCACTGCTTCTTTGCCAGATCCTGGCTCTGGAAGAAGCTCTGGTTTTATCCCCATTGTTTCCTGTCTTCAAACTTTCCTCTCACAGTTTCTCTTCTAATATATACTTTATGTTTTCAACAATTAGATGAAAGATAACCTTGCCAAGTTCCTCTGTCGTACCAGCAATACTAAAGCTTAACGTTTTATATATAGCCTCTCTGACTTCCTTCCTGTATTTCTCCATGCATTCGTATAGTTTTTCACAACACTGATCTCTTCTCTGACATCACTGCTCGCTGCCGTAGGAAGTGCTGTGCCACCGGTGACGCTTCCCCATCCAACTGATGGTGTGACTTGCTCCGGCCAACAGCACGTGAGCAAACATAATATAATTTCATGGCTGAAGCCAGGCTTCGAGAACTACCCCAACCTTCCTCTCTCATTTCTCTGCCGTGTGACTCACATGACCCAAACAGGAACCTCTGTCACCTCGGGCACCATAATGAAGACACGTGGAACAGGGCCACACAGTTGATCTTCAGGTGCAGACAAATAATATAAATAAAAGAGAGCATTTTTTTAAGCTCTGACATTTTCTAAGACCTTTAAATTATTTGTTATCACAGGAAAGCAGAACCATGAAGTTCCAGTGGCTTAAGCACTGGCTTCTACTTAAATACTGTCTGACTCAGAGGGGGGGAGTTCCTTCTGAAATCACTACCCTAAGTATATTTTAGACATCAAAAACCCCCACTTTTCTCTAATAGTGGTCATTTCTATGATTTTTATTACTTTACCAAAATATTAGAAATCAGCTGAAGATTTTTATTGTATTAATTTATAATGTAGTTGTGTATTCATTCAACAGGTAAATGTGAAGTGGTGGCTATATTTTCACACTGTTATTCTCCAAATACTAAAAGAACTAATGCAGCATCCTGTCTCTCAAAACAATTACAGTTTTAGCTCCATGACTTAATCAATTTTACCAAAGTTTCTTACTATCCACAGGATAGCTTGATACAATAATATATAAGTGAAATTTTATAGATATTCGCAGACTGTTTTATAATAAGAAAGGGCATCTAATGTAACACCAGAAGAGACATTTTGTGTTTGGCATAAATCTATTAAATCTACTGATGAAGAGTATTATTTTGTAGAATAGAGATAAGTAAGTTTGATTCCATATTTTGAAGTTATAGGTTACTTTGGGGAAAATTGACTTCTTGATAATATTGATCCTTCTGTTTCATGATTCCCTTTATATATTGGAAGATTTGGTACTCAATTTAAATTTTTCATTAAGGATTTAGTATGATTAATCATTAAAATCATGTGGTCTAGAGTTTACGTTGTGGGAAGATTTTAAACCCATTAAATCTTTTAATAGATAAAGGGCTATGTAAGTTACCTATTTCTTTTTAAGTGACATTTGGTAGTTTATATTGTTCTAAAAAATTGTTCATTTCATCTAAGTTGCTAACATGAGTGACATAAAATTGCTCACAATGCCCTCTTTAATATCCTGCTAATACCTTTAGTGTTTAATTTTTTTAAATTTTATTTATTAATTTTTTCGAGAGAGGGGAAGGGAAGGAGAAAGAGTGGGAGAGAAATATCAATGTATGGTTGCCTCTCATGCGCTCCCTGCTGGGAACTGGCCTGCAACCCAGGCATGTGCCCTGACTGGGAATCGAACCGCGATACTCTGGTTC